ACAAATAAAGATGCAAAACTCACAGGCCAGACACGATCTCGTTTTCTATTTCGGCATTTTGACATTCATTGGTTAGTGTCCCCCCCAAAAATTGTTAGTCTCAAGTTTAGATCATGCTATTGCAAGAAGATTTGAAAAGTGGACTAATTTCTTCTCACATTGTTTTCCAGTTACTGTCATAATAACTTAGAACCAAGGGCTTCTGAACTATTTTCCTCTTAAATATGAAACTCCTCAATGAAATTTAAATCCTTTCTTCTTGGGATATTTTTTACATATAATAGTCCCAAATTCTAATGTGAACAACCAACCAGACAATGAATGCCCCTACAAAATTCGGCATCCCAAGCAACCTGTTGCACTGTTCCGTCTTTTCCCAAGGAACACATTTTCTGTCTCATCTTTCTCCGTAACTGCCTGGAGTCTCTACTGTTTTATTCGGCTGACAAGAATCTATGTTAATCTTACATCCTCAACATAAACAAAAACATTGCTACTTCTTTAAATCCAACAAGTCAGTTGAACACTATTGTGTAGGGATACAAGGTCCCCCAAAGAATAAATGATGTGCTTAAGCCCAGCTTTTTAAAATTTTCTTTTCCCCAGTATAAGCGACATTTTTTTTTCATTTTCTTGTAATTGACCAACAAGCATCTTTTTCAACTGTTTTGTTTCTCCACCCTTGCACTGAGAACTCCATACAGAAGATGCCAGGCCTTCACATTTTAACCCAAGAACCAGTATTCTTTTGTAAAGGTATGAAAAGATCACATTTGCTTTGAATTTGCTTTACATTTTTGCACAACAGTTACTCATAATGTAACTTTACCTCTCTCTAGATTGTACCCACTCTTTTGAAACTTGAAGGTTTTCATGAAGTGGTATTATGCATTACTTCTCTTGCATTTATTCTCATATATTGGGTGTTCGTAAAGCTGGTTCCCAAACCATGCAAAGCTCTGTCAATTTTGTTTGAATTTGAAGATGACTTCTGCTTTTCATGACTTGAATTTTATTTGATATTTGGCATTCCAAAGAAATTTTATAACCTCTGAGCTTTGCTTGCCCTCTATTAATTTTCCTCTAGCCAACTTCCATTAACTGGGAACTTTTATAGTGTTTTATGAAGTGTTCATGGGGGCTCTTCCAAAAGTTGTTGTGCACTATTTTCTTTAGATCATAATCATTGCTTCCTACCTGACCAGGGCACAATCTCCCAGACTGCAAAATTATCTTTTCAGCCCTACAGACATCGCCAGCTCTCCTAAGTTTAACCTTCCTCCTTCATCCTAGCATTTAAAATGGATCTTGCATATGTTTTATCTTTAAGTGCAGTATTCTTCAGATTTCTGTCCTACACCTTCTGAAGGCTTAACAAAAATTATTAAACCCACAAACGCTTCAGAATCAGCCACATCCAAAAATAAAAATACAAAAATACCTTCTAATGGCTCCCCATTGTTTTCCAACTACTGTTTGCAGGCTCAAGGGAGGAGATATTTTGAGTTTTCCTTTGTAAGATAAGTAGCTTCAGTTGCAAGGAAATTTTCAGCTGCTTAACACTTTTATTTAGGACACTGAATTTATTCCCTTCTATTTGATTTCTGTAACTGGTATTTCTGGTATTTGGTTTGTATGGACTGAGCAGAAAGACTTTTTATTCCATGACCAGTTTTACCTGGATGTGCAAAACCACAGCTGAAACTGCGTAACAATGCACCCTTAAGAAGGTCAATCCTGTAAACCACATTGCCCACTTTCTCAGCCATACCTGGCTGTACTTACTGTCTTCAAAATAATAACACAAAGTTTGGCCTTGATTTTAACATATTCTTAGTTGGGAAGAGCACCAGTGGACAGAAATTATACATGCACCACCACACTTCCTCCCCAAACTATTTACAGTAGGTTCTACCTACCTACTTACCCTAAGTCTCACAAGGGGACTTTTTCTACCTAACCAATAAATTCTTCCTTGAGGAAAGGGCTTGAAACAGACTTGACCTTATCCCTGTTTCCTTCCTGAGCTGCTTAGATAGCTGACATACTTACAACCTTTTAAAGCCCTGGAGTTGTCTTTCTATAATGACTACAGAAGCAAATTACGTGCTCTGGGTAAAAGACAATGCTGCTATTACTGCACGTATTTCTGAATTTTAGTAGTACTTTGAAGTCACTTACAGTTAAAATGGTAGCTGAATATGCATTGGTTACAAAATAGAACTAGGAGCAAAATACCCTGTAAAGAAACAAAGGCATAAAAGCACTTCTCCTGAACGTTTTTTTTTTCCCTAAAATAGAAGAGAATTTTAAAATAAAATTTCCATCTAGCAGAAAAAAATGTTTATTCAAAATTAATTACATACTCACCTTTGACTCTATCTCCTTTGTGCAGATGAATTTCCCCTTCTCCTTGAGGTTGATATGGCTTTACGACAATAAAAAGTCTTCCAGGTACAGCACTGTAAAGCTTGCGTTTTGGACCCTGATAATCCAAGGCAGACAGAGTATCCTTGTTGGCACTAGGATTGTAAACGGCACTGGAAATTGAAATTAAAAAACATTAACTGGTTATTTAAAATGGGCCAAGTTAATCATTTACCATCACATTAGCAGGATTAAATTAAGCACTGAATAACACAATTGTCTGCCAGTAAGACATCTAACCCTGCAGAAAAAAACACGTTTTTCATCCTAAACACATGCTTTTAGTAGTTGAAATCTTTCAGTATGAAACATGATCAATATTCATCTGAGCATCATGGCCTAGAAAAGAAAACAAGTAACACTAAAGGTTTTAGTTTTTCTGCAAATTAAACTTGCACATTCACAGACCCTGATGAAGTTTAAAATTCATATGCAAATCATACATTACGAGAATCACACTTTGTCAGAAGGACTTTAAAACATCAGTATTTACAATTATTGTTGGGAATGGATATCTTTGTAATATTGTAACATTAACTGAACAATCAAGACAACTGAATTATTAACCGCATGGACTGAATAATCAAGTTACTTCATCACTTCAAGGCCTGGAGCTAAATTTTAGATCTGAAAAAAGCATGGTTCTTACGGCTAAAATATTCTCCAAAAGATCATTTCTTATTGATGGCAATCAGCAGCTCTCCCAATGACTTCAGAATGCTGTGCCCACATAAGCCATAGGTCATCAAACAACACGCAATCTACTTATGGTGTATAGAGAAGAAATCATTGAAAGCTGGTGAACAATGCGTAAGATCATTACTAAACCTCCAGAAAAATGAGCGAACAGTAAAAAACACACAAAAAGAGAAAGAGGCAAATATTAAAGAGGGTGGAAAACCTATAGGAGATATTGTAACAAACTTGTTAAACACTACTATTCAACTTTAAAAAAAAAACCAACATAAAAACTTGAGGTCTTATACAGAAAGTCTAGAAACAGAAAATATGCATGAGAAAGAAGAATATCTATAAAGACTTAGAGGAAAAAGATAGAGGAACCAGAGGAAGAAGAATGATTTAATGGTAGTCTAGCATTGCAACGCTCTGCTTATTTTCCTGTAAGGAGAAAGAAAAGATCTCAAACTGCTATAAGCAAAATGAAATACGAGGGCTGGTGTTTACTGTTTCTTCGCCTTTTTTTTTTTTAACCAATCTCTTACCAAAACAGGAGTCAATAAGGCTCTCAGTATAGGTAAAGAAGTTCTCTGGTAAAAAAAACAAATGTAGTGCATCTTTCGTACCAGGAACTGTTCCATTTTCCTGCAGTAACTTCTTTACTGCTTGGAATAGCATCCCCCTTTCACCTCGTTGTTCTGTCCTTCTATTACTGTGAACAGGTGCTAATAAAGATAAGCTGTACTTAAGGGTTTAAAAGTGAGCTCTGGTTGCATGTCTGTGATGGAGTTCGTATCAGAAACCTCAGCCAACTCTCACAGTTGTTGAAAGGAAGACAGGAAAAGATGATGTTTGGGTTTCAGTTCTTTTGCTCCATTTCTTTTTCCGCACAAGAGAAGAAACAGTCATCACCATAAAAAAATCCAGATCTATAAGCTGTTGCTACACATCCGATTTCTACTTGTATCAAGCTGTATTTTAAGCCTAGTCTGGTAGCAGCCAAGTAGCAGCTCTGCACAGTGTTATGTCCCAGCATCTCCTTTAACTCCTACCACAGGAGATTCATTCATTTTCTCTCTTACTGAAAGAGGAGGGGGAAATGGCACATTTAACCTTCACACTGAAGGCACCATTTCTCATGAGACGGGCTTACTAGTGGAAAAGAGGGATGCAACATGGGATAGATGACTTCTTAAGAAAAAAATCTTTCCTCTCCCGCCTGGTGCCCAGCTTGGGCTCCCAGCCCAGCAAGTCCCATGCCATGAAGGAGCAGGAGGAGGATGTGGAGATTTCAGAAGACATGTGGACGTGTTTCCCTCTCACCCAGAAGAAGGTGGCCATCCTTGACGGCTCAGCCCTGACTGGGGCTGTGCTGGCACCTCCTTTCACTAATCAGTGTGGGACAAATTCCGCAGGAAGGGTGCCAGTTCCCCTGCCCTCCCCCAGCTCCCCCCACCTCATGCCAAAACCAGTTTGGTATGAAAAGCAGCAACCTCACAAGAAGATAAAACACTTGAGCCACTCAGGATGTAAATAAAGATCACGTGAACCCCTTCCAGCACCGCTTTCCAGCCCTCTCCTTTCCACAGTGCAAACCCCACAAGCCTCATTGACCCCTTGTCGTACTCTAGCCTTCTCCATTAATTAACCCACCCCTTCTGGCTGCTTCTGCTCCAGAACCCAATCTACTGCTATGTCAAAAAGGGCTTTTTCATCTAAGGGGAACAACAGCTTCGTGGTGAATGTATTATTTGCAAATAATAAGCAGAGACAGCAACAATTCCCACATTTAGCTGACAGTAAGTAGGTGGCCATACAGTTAAACAAAATCTGTGAGGAAAGCGTCGT